TTTTCATTGAATGAAATTGGTAGTATTATTAATTAGTACTATTACAATTAAGCAATTTGAGATACTCATGTGTTACATAAAGTCTCTCTGCTACAATTAAGCAATTTGAGATACTCATATGTTACATAAAGTCTCTTAGAGAAGGAGAGGGGATCATTTACACCCCTGGCTGGTTTAGGAAATACCCTAATGGGCCAGATTGGCCCAAAATTACCCGGAAACGATGTTTAGTGAAGACCAAATCCTATATAACTACATTATGCTCGTAGGTCTTTGATATTTGACTTATTTTGCTTTTTGTTTATCAAACTTTAATTGGCGAACCTATGCAGCTCTTGGGGAAAAATCTACTGTGAACGTACTCTTGTTCTGCAGTTAATGTTTGAACGTACTCTGTTTCTAACATTTGTCTTTTCTTGTGGAAAAAAAGTAATTATTTTCATCAAATTGTTTTTGTGTTTGCTGTTACAAATGATTAAAAATGGTGGTGAACACTTGTCCTTGGATCTTTCTTTTTTTTTGCAGTGAACAATGGAAATTCAACATCACCAAGCACCTATCATAAAAGCAGATCAGAATCATTCATATAGTATAGTCAATCTTCTATCATTCTTTTGAGGCGATTTAGGTAAAACGGGAACACTTGGTTTTGAATGAAACGTGATGATAATTTTAACCTAACCTGAAAATATATATATGTCTAATTTTGTAGAATCTAACTAACGATTATGACAAGAAAGCATTTGTTAGCCACTAATATAAGCATCGTTAGCTTACCTTGAAAAGTTTGAATTTCCTTTTTTCAGTTAATGGTGGGTGAATAGTTATTTAATTGTTAATCATTTAAATGAAATTTGAAGTAGGAGTGAATATATTCTCAAGCACATTAGCAACCCAAAAAGGTAAAAATAAAGAAAGTGGAAAACCAACTATATATATGGGTTAGGCATTTAACCAAAAAAAAAAACAAATTTATATGGGTTAGGCAGTAAAGATCCATCCTCTTGTTTAATTAATCACATTTTGTTCCTCACATTCATTAGATAATACTAATTAATAGTCTTTGTCTCACTATCTTATTATTGCGATTGACTTTCAAACAAAGGCTATGATAAAATATGATTTGCCTACATTAACCAAGACTATATCAATATGATCCCCGAATTTTTCTCTACAGTTTTTTTAAACAATATTTTTCTCTACATTGCCATCAGCAATCTGCTTGATTCAAAATACAACATAATTGTATTGACTAACTAATTAAGCAGACTAAGGAAGACAGTTGAAAAAAGGAGCAATTTCGTAATCACCAACATATGTATTTAGCAATCCTTTAATTATGTATGTTACTAAAGAGAAAGAAGGGTTTTGAAAATAAAAAAATTGGACTGATCAAACCAAATCGTGAGCCTAACGCAACATCATATCTCTATTTCTAGGAATTCAAGTGTAACCAAGCACGACATATACTAATTCCCATCAAATTAAACATATAATATTATGGTTCTTATGAACAAA